CTGAGCACGTACGCGTATGAGGCAAGCCGAGGACGCATGAGCATGCAGATGTGGACGGGCTTCCGAGGCGCGGCAAATTGCCTCGTTGTGTGCGCCGTACGGCCTCGCCCCGATCCGTTTCATGGCGGTACATCAGGGAGGCAATGAGCAGTATGTGCTCAGTCTGGACGGTGAATTTGTACCATACAGCACCGTACAGATTATAGCGAGTTTTTAGTATTATTTTGCAAGGAACGGAACCAGGAAAACGTTTTGCTTCTTCTGGATTTAAATAATCAGCGTGATATCTTAAGAGAGCAAAACTCCAGTTCTATAACAACACAATAAAAAAAGGATATCCTTGGCAGGAAATCAGCCATCGATTCCCCTCCTTTTTTCTTTAATGTGTCGGATAAAATTATAAAGCATGCACTTAAGTCCGCAACGTCATCCTCATCCTTCATTTTTATTTTAATTTTACGAATTTTCTGGGTATACAGTTGCGTGCTCGCGAATTTACTGGATCAGTGGTGAACAGCGCCTCGTGCGTCCATCATTCGTGTATACAAAATGCGTCGCACGAGGCATTCGGTTCGGCCTCGGCTTGCCTCATACGCGTACGTGCTCAGATCTGTACCCGCCTTTAGACACCAATTCCGCATCCGCATTAGACGTGTGCGAGGCCCATGCGCCGCATATTCTGTAGATTCGCATCACAGTAACGAAAGTAACGAGTAACGAATATTTTTATACGGGTAGTCAGATCTGAAGTAACGAATACATACGGGTTTTGGTTTTCTCGTTACTTTTACAGCTCTACGAAATATGGTACAGTTTAAACCAGAGATAACAGAGATATAAGAAGTCATTCATAAAATATAATATTCATGGTGCCAAGAACAGTTAGCACTCAAAACATTCTATTTCTAGACGCGGGGCGAGGCGACGAAAGGTGAGAAGTAAAAGAAGAGATACAGTGAAGAATTTTACATATTTTTACAATGAATAACTGCCCGAGCATTTACTACTTAACGTAACTTTTCTTACCGGTGTAAGCCCTGTTGCCACTTCCAATCTAACATCACTAGGTTTTGGAATTTGTTGAAAATTATTACATCTAATTTAATGAAATTACTTCTAATTTGGTTAAAAATGCCTATTTTTTGTTCTAATGCTCAATTAAATCTTTGTAGGAAGTATTTTTTTATAATTATTTAAAAATCATTTACATTAGCCCTTATGATCGAAAAAAAAAATTTTAATGTCTCAGTTTCAACCGTCTACAAATTTGTATAAAAAATCTTCTTTTAGAAATATACCTCTCATTTGACGAAAAACGAAGGCCTAAATGAAAAAAAACTGTTCTTTATAAAAGTTTCGCCTATGTATTGACAAGGTAAAAGTACTTTCCTCATATTTGTTGCTTTTAAATTAACAAAAATATAGCAATAAACCATTAGTGATGTCATGGTTTTACTAGAAAGCAAACATTAAAGGCAGAGCCTATCGACTCTTTATGCATCTATCTCAGTATTGAAATGTATGCAATCAGTTTGACCCCTTTTATATTATTTTATACAGGGATTATTGATTTATCCACCATGTTTAATAGGGTGTACTTATTACTTCAAGAATTCTTTTTTATTTTTAATGTAAAATGAAAATAAGAAAATATAAACTATTTATTAAAGGTATTTATTGAAGTATCAATTATAAACAGTAAGGCTATTGCTTTGCAAAATACAATAAATCCCCAATATAAATAAATTATAATAATAATAATAATAATAATAATTGGAAGGAAGTATATAAAGCATAAATTAGTAATATTAAAATTTATAATTACAAGACTTTCAAACTAATCAGAATCAGATTCATCACACGAATCAACATTTTCCAAAACATTAGCGGCTGTGGTCAAACTATTTCTGCAGTTTTTCTGTGCCATACAGGTGCAGGAACCGATACAGTAAATATTTTTTTTCCTGCATTTGCAAATTTTGCTTCCACAGTCTAGAACAGAATAGTATTGTTAGAATATTGTATAGTATGTTTTTTGCATTTGCATGATGTAAGTTCTGTTATGTCTGGTGGCAGGTCGGGCAGAGTCTTAAAAGTGGATATCAGACTTCCATCTTGATCTACTTTCCATCCATACTCTTCAACATTAGGAAGCTGCATCTGGGTTTAAAGAGGTTAGCCAAATATTTAGCTGGTAAAAACATCTTAAACAATGTAGTCTTAGGGCGTCTTCAGTCGGTGGTAATTTAGCGATGGCAGTTTTGAATACATTTTTAGGAAAATTCTTTCAAGATTAGAGAATATGTTTTCAGAGTACTGATCAGTGCCAAATCCATCCAAAAAGTAATGGTTTTCAAGGTAGGTTTTCCAACAGGTTTTGTTCCCAATGCCGGACAATTAAATGGTTGTATCACAACCGGTCAGAATGAAAAGCAGGCATACTTTTTAGAAGGTTTTCATCTAAATTTAAATAATGTACTGCTAGAAATCGTCTTGAGTCTCCTCGCCCTGTTCTGAACCATATATATTTAGTCAAAAACTTTTTAAAATAAATTAATAAGACATCTGTATCGTTGCAATAAATAATGCAGCGTGAATGCACCGAATTTTTGGCTGACAATATGTGCAATGAGATACGATTATTAGCGTCTTCGTGATTTGAATTTAAAAAAATCGTCTTTTGATGGTTCAAAATTCTTTCCATATTTATTGATTTTCGCGAATCCACCACTAGTTAGAAATTGAATATGCTTTTGCTGAATGGAGTTTTGAAGAAGTTGCTCTGGCAGAAAATGTGTTGAAGGTCTTTTGTTAAATATCTAATGAATAAACAAGTTCTATTGTTGCGGAAGTGGAAGATTGGGTCGGTCAATTTATATATCAATTTATTTCTGAAATCCTCTCTTTTGACGTGTTGTATTTTTGATAGAATGTCCTTTATAATGATCAAATACCACATCTATCATTTGAGCATTAAATTTATTTCTAAAAATAATGTTTACAAATATATGAGCATATTCTTTAAATGATATGCAACTTTTGGGCTTTCCTATTTTGATATAATTTTTGTCTCTGCTACTTGCAGCAACAAATCCGTAATTAAAATTTTAAACGAAAACTTATAACTTACCCAAATATATTTAGCTGCAACAGGCTGAATGTAGATATAATAAAGATGCAAAAAGTCTATATTTTTTCCCAATTTATTAGGTAATTTAATATATAACACATACACTTATTAATTCTTTAGTAAAAACAGATAACAAACAATATGACACATTGCCCTATGGAACATAACAAGAAGTTTTATAATAAAAAAAATTAAAAATCCTACCATATCAATAATGTGATACATCAGCCCGCACGTAGAGAGAAACAGAGCTATGCTACGTTTGAAGGTGAAGAGAAAGATACACTGATAGTCGATAAATTTGACGGTGAGAATTAATTACAGCATAAACCTATGACATCTCTCATCGTTTATTGTTATATCTTTGTTAATTCAAAAGCAAAAAATATAGTGTTTACTCTGTTACCTTCTCAACACATAAGCAAAAATTTTATAAAGAATGTTATTTTTTCATTTAGGCCTTCGTTTTTTGTTAAATGAGTGGTATATTTAAAAAAGACGACTTTTTAACTAAATTTTTGAAGGGCTAAAACCAAGATATTTACGTTTATATTTTTTTTCGGCCGTAAGTGCTAATGCAAATGATTTTTTTTAAATAAGTATAAACAATTACTCCCTACGAAGATTTTATTGTGCATTTGACCAAAAAATTAGTATTTTTTTCTCTATTCGGTGGTATCAATATCTGGATTTTTGATGATAGTGCCCTTCTGCACAGTCTAATTTTGTATTAACTCCGGGAAAAGGGTTACCTTATCATGACCTTTCATCTGTGAAAAATTCAGCTAAGTGACAAAAGAGTGGGAGGTGAATCGTTTTCTTGAGCGAATATTTTAATACATACACTTTACTAACAATGACAACAGCGGATATTATACCCACAATATATTGTGATTATACCCTACTGTGTCCCTTAGAATATGTCTTATTCACGGCCGCACGATATTTGTTAATAGTTACATCTCCTGGTTATCTCTGGTTTAAACTAAATAAAATAGGAATTGTTTCTAGCTTTAAATTAATCTTTTCGGCGAGATTCATAACAAAATCACAATTTCTAAAATGTTTTGAAAATATTTTACTATTTTTCTTAATTTTATCATCTTCAATCACTCCAATGTCTAGGTTCTAAATCCAAGTTTTATTGGAAACTGCATAAAAAATATTTAAAAATTTTAAATTGACCACAAAACAAAATAGTCGTAGGTCAAAGAGGAGGATTAAAAATAATGTGACTTACCATGACATATAATTCACGGATAAGTTACGTATAACATAAAAAGTATTGATGGTCGCTGTGTAAATATATACAGGGTGTTACAGAATGTTGTGAGGAAAATTTAAGGGCAGATTCCACATCAAAAAATACAAAAAAGTTCATATAAATATGGGTCTGAAACGCTTCATTTTCCTGATACGTGGTGGTCTCACATTTTTCAATAACCCGTGGAGATATTAAAATGAGTTCTGGTACAAACAAATGTGTAATGAAAGGTCACATTTAGATGTACATCATTGTTTTCTAAAGCACTTACATCAGTGGCGTTAGTGCCGATAAGTCTTTGTTTAGCGAAAAAACTACACCACTGGTTTTTGACAGCATTTAGGGACCAATGTATATATAAACTTATTTTCATTATTTTATATGTAGAATCTGCCCTTAAATTTTCCTCTTAACATTCTGTAACACCCTGTATATTAGGTAAAAAAATGTATTTTTGTTTCAAAAAGTAAAAACAAAAAAACGAGATTGGTACCTCTGTTGATAGGAAAACCAATTAAATTTAATTTATCGATTGTTGATTTAAACAGTATAAACATAATATATTATTTATATGTTTTTTTTTTAATAAAAATTTATGTTTTTCAGAATCCATATTATTGGCCTTGGCAAAATCGACCACCCGATAACGTCGAGTACGCCATCTATCTAGCCAAACGAACGTTACGAAATAAACAAAGACACGGCCTGGAGGAGTATGAAATCGAAGCAATGAGCAATCTCAAAAAAAATCTAGCAAACAAATGGGATTTTATCACTCAGCAGGCTGAGGAACAGGTATATCAAATTGTTATAACTTTTATTTTTAAGTTTACTATTTTCTGTAAGCCATCGGATTTATACCACCATACCTGGTTTTGGATACTATTTTTAATACAAAACATTTCTATTTGCCATATTATATTCAATAAAGTACCTTATCCCTTGTCTCATTGTATGACAAAAATTTCATATGAACATGTCGTTGGTGCACAAGATTATTGCGACCACTGAAAAATGTCCATTTTCGAGCTTATTGTGAAAATGTATAGCAAAATCCGCATAGTTTTATGTTTATGTTTATATTTTGCTACTTCCAAAAATAACTGCTAGAAATGGATTGTGTCGTTTTTCCAGCACTCTACAGTGTCGCAAGTTTATGATAAAGAGTGGCACAAATCTGGTTTTGCTTCGACAATTAATGAGCCAAGATCGTAAATTGGCTAGAGTAATAAACCAAAATATGCCAGTTTTATTAAAAATAAATCAAAAACTTTATTTTCAACAGTGACACAAATCACATTCTGACATTATTGTTGAAAATATAATTACCAGTATGGTGTGAAAAATACTTTTCTGAAAGATCATTATAACTCAAAAGGGGAATGAAAATTTATTTTTTGATTTTTTCATAATGTTATCAAAGCAAACTTGTTGTTGTTTGAATATGCGAATATACAAAATATATTACAAAAAACATTTTTAAAATGTAAGATGCAATAAACAAAAAACTTTATATTGGATGTCTTCGAAATCTATGTTTTTGGTTTGATTCACTATTCTTGTGTACCAACGATGTGCTTAATTAAAGTTTAAATTATTATCTTATTAATGCATCTACCAATGTTAATTAAAATCGTTAAAAAAGTGTGTGGGACATTAATTAAAAAACTAATTTGTCTTCTTACACATGACTTTCCTGTCTAGTTATTACATGCTTTTATTGGTTATTTTGTACAACCTATTATATCCATCCTCTAAATATTCAGTGTATTTTTATTTTTTGGCCAAAGAGAACTTTTTGCGAAGAATAACTATTTTTTCATAATACTAATAATACCAAAATCTCCCATATGGTGCCGCCTTAAGTTGACATATTTGTATTATGGACTATATTGTTCAAATGTTTATTTTTTAGTAACCATAATAGTAATTAATATTCCAGGTGAAGCTTTCCAAAGGTCTAAAAAAAGCCGACAAGTTAGTCAGTGACTCCCAAGAAAGAGCTTATTGGAGAGTGCACAGACCTCCCCCTGGTATGGTAAGTTCCTTAGAGCCATGTCCTGTTCCCACAAGAAGTTGGAACGGTGGTACAAGAACTAGAAAAAAGACAATAGAAGACTGCAAAAGAGAAGTAAGGTTATATATTTATAGCATTTCTTAATTTTTTATGGTTAGTGGCATTTTCATATTTTGTTCTGTGTATGCCTCTTTTTTTTTTCGTTTCATTCTTCTTCTATCATACGTATTTTAAGGAGGTCCTTTCGCCACCAATGTTAAATAAAAAATATTAGATTATGACTAAAATTAATTTTTTTCTAATAGTAGATGTCCTTATTTATCTAATAGTGAACTTTTAACTATACCTTACCGTGCAAATTTTTGAAAAAATTTTTTTTAAATGTGTGTGTTTGTACAGTGTCTTATGAGAAAGTAAGACTTCAACAACAATTTTCGAATTATAATTAATTTTACTATTATTTATTGATTAGATGGAGTAGAAAAAAACTAAAAATAAGGTTTTTGAAATATTTAGGTTTTGTTTTTTACAATAAAATATATAGGTTACCGTGGAATTTATTGAGAAATTATTATTAAAAAATCATAAAAAAATTTCAACTAGGTTACTTGAAAATTTTTTGTGATTTTTTAATATTAATTTCTCAATAAGTTCCACGGTTTACTATATATATTTTATTGTATAAAACAAAATATAAATATTTCAAAAACCTTATTTTTAGTTTTTTTCTACTCCATCTAATCAATAAATAATAGTATAATTCGAGAATTGTTGTTGAGGACTTACTTTCTCGTGAGGCACTGTACAAATACTCACATTTAAAAAAAAAAATCTCAAAAATTTGCAAGGTAAGGTATAGTTAAAAGTTCAGTATTAGATAAATAAGGACTTTTTTTTAACATTTGAGGCGAGAGGTGTGGCGAAAGGACCTCCTTAAACTGCTGTTTTTAGAATATGCCACAAATAAACTACGAATCTGATTGTTTATGCTAATTAAACTACAATTACCCAGTATCTATGGCGTTTTAGCACAGTTGAAATTTTCAAATATTACTGATGTTTAATTATGAATTTTAAAATGATGCAGTACTTTTTTTCGTAAAACCAAAAATAGGTAGCAAATTTTTTCGTATGCTGACAATTTAGGCAGATACACTGTATATGGTGCACGTTTAAAGTCTCTACATCCAAGTAAACTTTAAATAGTTATTATAAATTAATGAAATTTGGTATACACCTTCCTAAAAAAACTGTACAGGTAATTGTTCACATAAACACTGCGACCTAAAAGATGTATTGTGTCCCCTTCTTTCGCTCTAGTAACAAGGAAATGTTGTTGACGTCTATAACGATCATTCCAATGCTACCTTTACAATCAATTTAAGGACACCAAGCCAGGCAATGTGGGGTTTTAATTAATAAATCTCATCATAAATAAATAAATAATTGTCGGGGATGAAACTGTAAATATATTTGTTATAAAGACAGAAGTTGTAAACAAAATTTATAAGTCATAATAACAATGTTGTTTATCTTCAAATAACCGGTACACAACGTGAGATTTTCCCCCGCGGCCGGACCGTTAAACTGGCAACGTTTATAATATTCGTTTCCTACTCACGCCAATGTCAACTCTTTGTAGTTTTTACTTGGAAATTAGCAAAGCGTATTGAAAATCGTTCAATAGCTGACAATGTCGATTATAAAGTATGGAATCAATTCAATAACTTTTATGTGCTAAATTTAAGAAAATCTGCAAATATGTGGTTTTTCATATTTCTGTCCATAATCTATGAATTCTGGACTACGACTTGCGACCAACAAATTGGGGGTTCACAATAATACATTATAGATCTGAGTACAGATGTAGGTAAAAAACTGTCAGTGTTTTAATCATACCTTTCTAAAACACTGAAAAGTTTTTTATCTACATCTGTTCTGAGATTTATATTCTATCATTGTGAAACACCAATATTTTGGCCAGAAGCCACCACTGCTTGCGGCTATTAATAGTTTTGTTAGTGGAAAGAATTCTGGACTGATTAATACTTTTAGCTCATATCCGATTCATTATCGATTCTGGATTTTACCGCATTTTGGCATTCCAAGTATCAATACCAATTTATAACCAATAAGGATTGAAATCGGTATTATCGCAAACAAATAACTAGATCCAAGAGTCCAGTTTAGTTATTACAACTACTGCATATGAGACTAAGATAGCTATTGTACAGTCTGCTAAACAAGTTATTTTAAATAGTTTTTAATATTTTTAGGTAATTAAATTTTAAAAGTGTGGAATAGTTTAGGGATTAAATTGGTCTGATTGGACTTTCTTAGAACGTTTTTAAAAGCAGCTAAAGATAGTATGTAGAATTGAAAATAATTATTATGCCATAAAAGATGTTTTGGAATTCCTTCAACCTTTTGAAATTGAGTCAGAAAATATAAATTTTATAGGATAGCGGAAAATACCTATAATTTTTTTGTAGGCCTTTGTAAATCGTGGAAATAGTTTATATTTTATTTCTACCTTATTAAGGAAAATGGTACCTATTATTAATAACGGTTGTTTCTGAAACATTGCTAAAATTTTCGAAATTTTGTTTTTCTACAAAATAATAAACTATACTATTTAGAAAAAAAATTATTTCTCTTATAATTTTATAAAAAATAACAGGGGAATATTTACATTTCTTGATCTATTAAACAAAACGATAAATGAGGAGTAGACTTCCAAAATGCGTTTTGTCCAAAACTTCAACTTTTGAGCTGAAGGTGGCGTTTGGTTCTCTAACCTAAGGCGCATCGTTTAACAGTACCTTAGATATTCAAAACGTATTTTGTCTCATATGAAATCCCCAGTAAAGTTTGCTTGGACATTCAAAGCGCGTTTTGTCCATTACATAGAGACTTTCAAAACGCGTTTTAATCTTGTGCTGCGGACTTAATGCAGTCTGAATGTATTTTGGCATTAGTTCACCATTCTTTTTGCTATAACTGTGTTTAATAATCTGAGAAAATGGAATCTGAACACATAGTAGGTGACAGTGATCGTGGAAGTCGCAAAAGAAAGAAAAATGTGACAAATAAACAACGGGAAAAACAAATAAGGTAAATTCGTAACTATTTTGTGGTTATGTTTCGAACTTTTTTATTTTTTCAGGTATTCGGATCATGATTCTAACATGGATATATTTGAATACCCCTGCAATCATGAATCCTGCAGAAATATTTCGCTACAAGAATTACGAGCTTGTCGAGCAAAATTTTATAAACAACCAGATAAGGTTAAACAAGATACCAAAATATCCCATCTTCTTCATGTATGTACACCCAAAAGAAAAAGGAGCAGAAAACTACAGAATGCGAAGCATCACAGCATGAGTGTTAAGCATACAATATGGAGTACTTCTGGAAAGCAGGAGGTTTGCCAGAAAATGTTTCTTTCTGTTTTTGTAGTGAGCCAGCGGCGTGTTCAAAATATTGCCAAGAAAATGAAGACTGGTATTGGCATATTGGAAAACAGGGGTGGTGACCAACGCTCACATAAAAGTACCTCGAAAAAATTGAGAGTCATAGAATTTATCCAAAATTTGAAGGGCACCGAAAGTCATTACGGACGAGCTAAATCCCGAAGAATTTACTTATCTTCTGAGTATAATATTACTAATCTCTGGAAAGCTTATAACATTTCTGTAGAACCAAGCTACCAAGTCAATTACAAATTTTTTAGTCGTATATTCAATGGTCAATTTAACATAGGATTTCTCCAGCTTCCGATGTTTGTGGCTTCTGTGTACGTCATCAAAGACTACTCAATTTGTGTCAAGAACGAGAAGAAAAATTAAGATTATGACGAATTTGAGAGTGCATAAACTAAGGAGCAAGCAATTTTACAAAATGATGACAGAAGAATCAGAAGACAGTCTTTCTTTTTGCTTTGATTTACAGCAAGTCCAAGTGCTACCTAAAGTCCCAATAGGAGAGGCTTTCTATACACAACAAGTCTCTTTATATTCATTTTGCATCACTGATATTTCTAGCAAGACACCAACTTTTTATTCCTGGCTAGAGACTCAAGCCGGTCGTGGATCCATCGAAATAGGCTCTGCAGTTTTTGATTTTCTGTCAAAAATGGAATTCCCAGACCATGTGAAGGAACTACGGCTATACTCGGATGGCTGCGGTGGCCAGAATAAAAATAGTCATATGGTCCACATGTTTATGATTTGGCTTCAAAGGCATGCTCCACTTACATTACAGTCCATAAGGATTTGTTTTCCCGTTCGTGGGCATTCGTACCTTCCTGCTGATCGCGTATTTGGCAGGGTCGAAAAATTGATAAGAGCACAAAGTATGATAAAATCGCCAGAAAAATACTGGGAGCTTTATTCCAAAATTGGAGAGGTACGTAAACTAGGGGTAGAATGGAGAGCTATTTATGATTTCAAAAAAGCTTTGTCATCTTTAAAGAAAGTTGCAGAAATCAGCGAAGCAAAGAGAATCTTCATCAGCAGAATGAGAAATGGAGGTGTTGGAATGAAAACTGAGCAATTTTATAGAAATGATGATGGATCAAAAAAATACGAAACTCTATTGAAAAAAGGAAAGAAACTTGAAAGTATCGTATTGCCAGAAGTATCGCTCAGTAAAGAATTAAAAGGGAAGAAAATAAAGAGCCTGACTAATTTATTAATTTCATTGGCTTCCGAAAATTGGAGAAATGATCCAGAATTGGAATGGCTTGCTCCAATTTTGCCTGACAATGTGGAAGTTATTTCTGAAGATAAAGGTGAGGTTGATGAAGATGAAGGTGATATTGAGCATTCAGAATTGTGTAATTGTCAAGAAGATGATGGTGGGGTAAAATTATAGGTTTAATGTTTTCAATGTTGAATTTTTGGTCAATAAAATGTTGATTTTCTTGTTTACCTTAACATTAATTTTTACTCTTCTCAATAGATTGTTTTACTATCAAACAGCATTAAGTCCCTGGTTTTCCTAAACAAAATGAGTTTTGTCCACTGTGGACAATCAAAAAGCATTTAAGCTCGTTCTTTTTTCAAAATACTGGGATGAATACCGAATGGAGATTTTTTGGATGAATACTTCTTTGGAAGACTTATTTTTCATAAATTATTCGGTTATTTGAATTTTATCAAAACGTATCAGTTTCTTTATAATAAACTAATTCATCTCCTGAAAATAATGTAATTTGGACAAAACGCATTTTGTTTTTCTGCTCCTCAAATTATCTCGACGAATGACACCATGTTCTAGTACGGAAGCTAGCTTTACATTTTTGTTGGTGGTTTCATGGGTTTCATATCAATTTTTTGTAATTGTAGTTTACACGTACATATACCTCTTAACACTTGTTTGCTTTATTAAAAAAGTGTGTTGTTGTGATTTACGTCGAAATAAGTCAAAAACAACTTGAAACCCCATATAAAATCAAAAAGGAGAAACGGAAAAAAATTGAGCCTGTAAATGAACACAACTCAGAAACAAAAATAGCTATCTAATAATAAAAAAATAAAATTTGATTCTTGTGCAGCTTCATCTATATAATTAACTGTTTTTGGTTTTTTAATGGTTTTTCTTGGTGATGAAAATTCCGATATCTCACGGTTATCGATTCTTTTTTTCTCTCCAGAAATGCGGACGACAGTGTTTTTAGATACTCCTGTGGCTGCAGCAACACGATCATTTACATTTTTAAATGGTATTCCTTCTCTTCTCATAAACTCTATAACATTGGCTATTATTTCGCGAGATTGACTGTTAATCACGCGGCCTCTTAATTTGCTATTAAACTCCATACTTAGGTTCTATTAAACTGTAATGAGCAAAAAACACAAACGAAAATAAAAGAAATGTTTTAGCGAAATTTACATCTGACATTTACGTCTGAATGAAATAGTGAAATACTTGATGCGCAGAGTGTACTTTCATTGCGTAAATCCGTCGGGATGCCTGTCAGTAGTGCTTTCTCTGTCTAGCCGTCGAAAGCCTCTAGAAATTTCATGAACTGTAAGTTCATAATTTTGTTTAGTGATCAAAGCTAATTAACAGGTCGAGATACGTTAAAAATTAGGAGTTAATTTTTCCATACTTTGTTCTTTTATGATTACTCCTAACTAAATACACACACTATACTGTACAGTACATACTTTTCATTTAAGTAAAGCCATAAAGCATTAATGTAAAGTCATTATAGTATAATATTATACTCTGTGAAATAATGAAATTTAAGTTTCGCAATTTATTTTGACCGAATGGTAGTTTTAATGTTTTTGTTTTTAATTTTCAATTTCAAGGTGGAATTACTTAAGAACAGTCTATCGAAAACAAGAGTGAAAGTATCCCAAGCGTTAGAAAGTATGGTACAACACGTAGAAATTTACATGGAGTACGATCCACTGATAACCCCAACGCAACCATCAAATCCATGGGTCAGCGAAGACTTGACTTATTGGCAGTTGAACAGTCCCCTGTAAGTTTTTTTAATGCTTCACATTGCATTTTCGATTAGTAGTTAATATGCTCATCTTGAGGAATGCAGAAGAACCATATCAATAAATACTCGTAAACGTGGAATATTTTGTATTTGGAATTACTGAAAGTGGTGAGACAAAATTGATCATTTTAAACAAAAGAAGAAGAAATGTTTTTTTTTTATGATTTGTTCCAGCTTACTGAATATTTTTGCACTGGTTTATGCATGCCTTATTATTTTATTTGCATTAGATAACGAAAAGGGTGAAAGCTCTTAATTTGTGCTGTTTAATATTATTTTTAATGGGTTTTCATTTTCCTGTGTCAAGCTATTTCGTTCTTCTTTATTATTAATAAAAATATTGTTTTCTTTAATAACAGATCAAGGTCACTGAAACATTTAAAGGTAGCACATTATATATTTAGCTTTTTGGCTTTATATGAATCTCATCAATTAAAAATTAGAATTCAAAATTTCTTTATAAATCTTTCTTAAACAGTGTTAAAGTTTAAGACATTTATGAGCAAAAAGTTACAGTTTCTTACAATGTTTTTCAAGATTGAGTTTTGCGATACTATAAATTTGGTAAATGTTAATTCAATTATAAGGTATTGGTTCTTTATTGCCTGCTTAATTAAAGATCTTTTAAGGAATATTGTACCAGGGCGGTCACCTCACTTTGCCTACAACACTTTGCGTACCACAACCTCACTAAAAGCAATTGTGGGCTGAGTTGTCACATTATTTATTAAAAGATCTTTACCATATCTTGCATACCTCAAGATAAAATATTTGCACACTTAAAACTTTCTAGTAAGATGATGTACATTTATTTGTTTAGCCTTGAAAATTCAACAAAAATTGAAGATATCGTATTTTTAAATTCCCTCCCTTAGAATGTGTTTGGACCTGCATCGAAGCTTAGACCATTAAAAAATTAAACTATTATAAAATCCACTTAATCAATTTAAAATCTAGTTAATTTCCTTATGGTATACGGTATTATTTAAAGAAATAAATAATCACTACTATAAAAAGAATCTTGCATAACCAGTAGGTAGGTAAGAGATTTCAATTTTCAAGTTTAAAATAGTCTGGTGTCTAAGTTTGTTTTGCAGAAACTGGGTTGTTAAACTCCAGTGGAAATCAATATTCTATATAAATGGTTCCTTTTTTTAATGCAATGCCATGTATATTGTTTAATTTTTATTTTACTTTCAATTCCACATGAACACTATTTCATATTTTAGATTACATTATATTTTTTTAAACAATCTGGTACTTTTGAAACAACCAAATGGTCAATGTTATCGGCAATGTTTTTCCTAATCTGGCTCACTATATGCTCGGTAAGCTTTGACGATGGTCTTCTTAAGATTTATCTGGCCTGTCTGTATCCAGTTAAATTATTTCACCAATACAGAGATTTAACTAGTATCATCCATTGCTTTGTGCGTATTCTGATGGCCGTCTTTTTGACACCACAGAAGGGTTCTGGGCCAAAAAGAGCCTTTGAGGCTTCTTCTTGGATAAGTAAATCTGCCTCTTCCTTGTCCTGTTTTTTATATCCCCATTACCAGGCTAATACCTGGATAAGGTTAGTGTTATTTGACAACCCAGCTCTGTAAAGTCCCTCACAAGCTTTAAGTGTACCTAAATAGAACTGAGTCCTTTAACGTCGCTTTACTTTCTGAGTATAGGAGAATTTTCTCCTTTCACCTTATGCCTTAACTTCTCTATTGCATAATAATGTTTATGATGTTTTTTTACTAACTTAAAATTGATCTCTCAATTACCCAATATAATATTATTAACAAGTTTCTTTGTTTGTTGTTGTTTATTTGCATCATAATTCATTACTATTCCATTGTTGTTAAACTGTTGTTATGTTAATATACAAATATGCTGTTGTCAATAAGGTTTTTCAGGGATGTACTTAGTATTAATAACAACTCTGAAAACATTTCTTTTTGACGCTCCTTTATTTTATTTATTTATTTATTTAATAGTGAAATATCCGTCTTTTATTTTCTGTGAAAGTATTAATGTTTTCCTGGATTTTTAAAGATTAACGTTAAAGAAAAAATCTTAAATGACCTCCATAACTATTCGTTTAATTATAATTTATTTAATAATATTTTATGAAACTCCCAAAAACAAAACTCGATAAGGATCTATTTTATGTTTTGTGCTTGATTTGCAGGGTTCTTTTATAACATGCCTAAATAATTTAATGTATAAATTAATAAAACTAATTACCTCTATTTTTGCACAAGTTTTTTGCACAAAAGCACATGGATAGACAATTTTTTCTTGTAAATAATTTAAACAATTGAATGAATGCTTTCATTTCAAAGTCCTAATCAAATTTTAATTAAAGTCGATATATCAAATTTATTGAATTTATTGAATGTTATCTGATATCCAATTATCCTCAGCTGCCTCTACTTTAAAATTTAAAATACTTATATATCTTTATCAATTAAAAATAAAAATCTTACGAATTTTTTCAGGATTTTTGAAGGTGCATTGTGCCTGTAAATATTGCAGTCCATTCTATAATAAAAAAGAAAAAAATACTTGAGGTTTCTAAAAAATCGCATTTTTTTAATGAACAATTCCGGTTTTTGGCAAGCTCTGATAACATCTAAACAGACAATTTTTATAAAATAATATGGTCTTATAAACTACCTCTAGCACCTTTTATTTTTGAAATAGTAAACCCGAGTTTTATACTTGCTCTTTTTAGGCGTTAATGATTATAATAAACAATTAGACAGAATTAATATGGAAATTAATTCATTAGAGTCGTTGGAGTTAACTCCTTGTTTGACAGAAAATTTCATAAAATTTTCATAAAATTTTCATCAAATTTTTATCAAATTTTAATTAAATTTTTATCAAATTTTAATCAAATTTTAATCAAATTTTAATCAAATTTTAATCAAATTTTAATCAAATTTTAATCAAATTTTAATCAAATTTTAATCAAATTTTAATCAAATTTTAATCAAATTTTAATCAAATTTTAATCAAATTTTAATCAAATTTTAATCAAATTTTAATCAAATTTTAATCAAATTTTAATCAAATTTTAATCAAATTTTAATCAAATTTTAATCAAATTTTAATCAAATTTTAATCAAATTTTAATCAAATTTTAATCAAATTTTAATCAAATTTTAATCAAATTTTAATCAAATTTTAATCAAATTTTAATCAAATTTTAATCAAATTTTAATCAAATTTTAATCAAATTTTAATCAAATTTTAATCAAATTTTAATCAAATTTTAATCAAATTTTAATCAAATTTTAATCAAATTTTAATCAAATTTTAATCAAATTTTAATCAAATTTTAATCAAATTTTAATCAAATTTTAATCAAATTTTAATCAAATTTTAATCAAATTTTAATCAAATTTTAATCAAATTTTAATCAAATTTTAATCAAATTTTAATCAAATTTTAATCAAATTTTAATCAAATTTTAATCAAATTTTAATCAAATTTTAATCAAATTTTAATCAAATTTTAATCAAATTTTAATCAAATTTTAATCAAATTTTAATCAAATTTTAATCAAATTTTAATCAAATTTTAATCAAATTTTAATCAAATTTTAATCAAATTTTAATCAAATTTTAATCAAATTTTAATCAAATTTTAATCAAATTTTAATCAAATTTTAATCAAATTTTAATCAAATTTTAATCAAATTTTAATCAAATTTTAATCAAATTTTAATCAAATTTTAATCAAATTTTAATCAAATTTTAATCAAATTTTAATCAAATTTTAATCAAATTTTAATCAAATTTTAATCAAATTTTAATCAAATTTTAATCAAATTTTAATCAAATTTTAATCAAATTTTAATCAAATTTTAATCAAATTTTAATCAAATTTTAATCAAATTTTAATCAAATTTTAATCAAATTTTAATCAAATTTTAATCAAATTTTAATCAAATTTTAATCAAATTTTAATCAAATTTTAATCAAATTTTAATCAAATTTTAATCAAATTTTAATCAAATTTTAATCAAATTTTAATCAAATTTTAATCAAATTTTAATCAAATTTTAATCAAATTTTAATCAAATTTTAATCAAATTTTAATCAAATTTTAATCAAATTTTAATCAAATTTTAATCAAATTTTAATCAAATTTTAATCAAATTTTAATCAAATTTTAATCAAATTTTAATCAAATTTTAATCAAATTTTAATCAAATTTTAATCAAATTTTAATCAAATTTTAATCAAATTTTAATCAAATTTTAATCAAATTTTAATCAAATTTTAATCAAATTTTAATCAAATTTTAATCAAATTTTAATCAAATTTTAATCAAATTTTAATCAAATTTTAATCAAATTTTAATCAAATTTTAATCAAATTTTAATCAAATTTTAATCAAATTTTAATCAAATTTTAATCAAATTTAATCAAATTTTAATCAAATTTTAATCAAATTTTAATCAAATTTTAATCAAATTTTAATCAAATTTTAAATTTTCGATAAATTTTCGATAAATTTTCGATAAATTTTCGATAAATTTTCGATAAATTTTCGATAAATTTTCGATAAATTTTCGATAAATTTTCGATAAATTTTCGATAAATTTTCGATAAATTTTCGATAAATTTTCGATAAATTTTCGATAAATTTTCGATAAATTTTCGATAAATTTTCGATAAATTTTCGATAAATTTTCGATAAATTTTCGATAAATTTTCGATTAATTTTCGATAAATTTTCGATAATTTTTAAATAAATTTTCGATAAATTTTCAATAAATTTTCAATAAATTTTCAATAAATTTTCAATAAATTTTCAATAAATTTTCAATAAATTTTCAATAAATTTTCAATAAATTTTCAATAAATTTTCAATAAATTTTCAATAAATTTTCAATAAATTTTCAATAAATTTTCAATAAATTTTCAATAAATTTTCAATAAATTTTCAATAAATTTTCAATAAATTTTCAA